CACACACACACACACACACACAGAAAGACACAGGTTTATGGAGTTAAAAACACGTTCCTCTGAGTCCTTCACAATAAAAGCCTTTATTTTAAACCAGTTTGGCTTCATTTGCTCTTTTCGGCTCGATTATATGAACGTTTTCCTTCTTCAGTGGGACACAAACAGCGGTGTGGTGTGTATGCAAACACACAACGATCCCGACTAAGGATCAGTAGCTCGTTGCAGGTCTGTGTCACAGAGCAGCTCCGACTTTTCCAGGTTTTCTCTTTTTCTCTGTTCGCTGGACGGACAAAACGGAAAACTGCAGAGCACGCATCACGATGGAGTTATCAAACTTCCCTGTTAAAACACGCTGGCTCTGAGCATGCTCACATGAGAGCAGTGATAAAGCGCCACTACTCAAATCACATACAGTGTTAGCGGGACGGAGATCAATAAAGATGATAAATGATGATCCTGCTTCAGTGTGAGTGAAATAAAGTGTGACGCGTGGAAGACAAAAATGAAACATACATGGCCACTCGTACACCTCTTCAACCGCTCCTCAACACAAGTATCTGATCAGCCAATCACATGACAGGAGCTCCGTGCATTTAGACACGTGGATCAGAGTGTTTCAGAAATTGATGATGTGCTGAGATTTCCCACACAGCCATGTCTGAGTTTACAGAGTATGTGAGAAAAGGTCCTGTGAGAGGCAGCTCTCTGGGAGACAATGACTCGCTGATGTGGGCGCACAACAGACCGTCTGCTTCAAGCTGAGAGCGAGGGCGAGCTTTGAATCCCACAGCCCACCTGAGCATGTTACACTGAACCAGGCACGTGCAGGGGGGGTGCTGGAGGGGCTTGAGCACACGCCCCTTTAAACATCTCTGCACGGCCCTGCTCCACACCTCACCGGCTCCAGTCCAGTTTGTGCTCAGCATCAGTCACCATGGTGATCCAATAGGCATTAAGACAGTCGCTGTGACTGTAAGTTCAACACAGCTCACCAACTCAATCTCTCAGCATGTAATAACAGCTTTTATTGAATGCTAACTTCAGATTAGACACTTACTGCTCAGGCATTTCTACGATATCATGAGAAATATTTGAAAACTTTGATTTTTAAAGTTTCACGTGACAGAGAAGAACTAAAATGAAAGTAAACACTTTAAACAGTAAAAACTGAACTGAAACCACAAAGTCACCTCTGGAAACAAAAAGAAAAATTAAAAATTCACGTAAATTGTAAACAGTCGTTTTTATAAAGCAGCTGAACCTGTCAGTGCTGCCCTCATCAAGCCTCCACAGCTTTCGTGACCTTATCTTTAATTATCACTGATTATTTCAACAATCTCCCCATTTGCCAGACTCCATAAGAAAAACTGATGTTTCTTTCGCTTAGCGCTCGATAATAAGGTTGTATACAAACTAAAAACTGCTCGTTGTTCTCATTAACTCTGCTTTACGTTTCACAGAACTGGATTCTTACTTTATAAACATGACTCATATTTGTCTCCATAACAAACAGCTTTAATCTAGCTTTATCCAAAGACACGTGACCACATTTTACTGGAACTACTGATATTAAAGTCTGAGTTCAGTATTTTACGCTACAGGTTTGTTGTTGTCGTGAAATAAACACTGTAAATGGCCAAAACAACTTCGTTTTGTACACAGGTGACAGTTAGCTGAATTCCGTGAGAAAAATGGACGTTTGTGTCGCGTTTGTCGCCGACGTTAAAAAAAACACTATGGAAAAACTGTTGAAATATTCCCGCTAATGTTCTGATGAATTCGGCTTTATGTTTCATAAAGTTTCGAGATTCGTATTTAATAAATCATCAACACGGCACACAACTTGGCTCCGACTAAACTTCATCGGTATTCAAGCTGGCGTGTCATTTAAATGAGCATTGTTTAATTATAACTGTGAGCCGAATGAGAAAACGTCTCCATATAAGTGGCGTGAAGTCCGAATTACTTTGTTCAGAGATGATTATACACTTACCGGTAAGTCACAGGACTTTAAATCCGACGGTTTGGTAACGGAATCCGGCGTGTTAAGTCCGGGAAGTACCCTCTGCTGCTAGGAGGCTAAAAACGATGCTAACGCTAGGCTGGTTAGAGAAGTTTGAAAAGAGCAAAGACTCAAAGAAACTCAGAGCAGGACAGAAGACAGTAGCTCGGACACTTAGACCGGGTTAACTGTCTCACTTTACGGGTTAACTGACAAATAGCCGAGTCGGTTACCGACGTAATGAGGCGTCTTACCTGTTGATGACAGGGTTGCTAGAGCTAGCAGATAGCTAACTCCCGGACAAGTTGATGGTAGTTAAGAAACACTAACCAGCAGCTGCTAGTTAGTTAAACAACATGACGACGACCTGAAGGAGGAAGTGAAGGAATAACAGGAGCACAGAGACACTGCGAGGGCTGAGACAACAACACAGCCAACCAGGAAGACTTCGGCCACACACACACACACACACACAGAAAACACACACAAAAACACACACACACACACAAACACACTGACTCAAATAACAGATAACACACACACCGGAGGACGCCAGCATTTGTACTTAAGTAAATTACAACTTTGACTTATTTAAAATAGCAGAAACCGTTTTTGAACTTTTGTTTTTTCGAGAACTTTATTTAAGTGTAACCTGATCGGCTTAGACGATTACCTGTGCTAACAGGCCCCGCCCACAGGTGGCGCTCAGTTTGACTGGATTACTGAGTTTAAAGGAAATAATTCCAAATGCGTTTAGGATGGTGTGAGTGTCATAAAACACACACATCTACCACAACAAGGAGTAGATGTCAAACTCAAACTGAATGGACATTAGACACACAGGTGAATGAAACCTGGAGAAACTCATTCAAAGCACACCTGTATGTTCTCAGCCCCGCCCCTTTACCCCACAGCAGCAATTTATTCTGCCTGGTTACAGATACATACATCATGCATGAGAAAGCGTGCTCCCCTTCTTTTTACCTGCACGTTTAACTTCTTGATTCAAACGGGTTTTTCCTTACCACTGTTGCCAAGTGCTTACTCAAGTCGTGAGATTGTTGGGGATTCTCTGTACTGTTGTAGTCTTTACCTTATAAAATGAAGGGCCCAGAGGCAACTGTAGCTGTGGTTTGGTGCTACATGCATACATAAATTAAACGGAGCTGAAGGCTGTTTCTCAGCAGCCTGCTGCTGGGTTTGGGAGAGAACCGGTTATTAATGTAGTGGAAGCTGAAGAGACTTCTGTAGAAAGCCTGACTGATCAGAACCTGTGGACCAACATCAGTGAGTTCCTTGCAGTAGCTCCTCACTGATGTCAGCGGCTCCAATATTGGTCCCGGTCTTCAATCTGGCGGACATGAACAGAAATAGGAGCGCTGCTGGCTCAGCGAGGCCCCTGAACAAACCCTTTACTCTCAGAGCCAACCTGCCACTTCATGCTGACGTCCAGTTATAGTACCGAGACCTTCCGGCTTCTAAGCCTGTCCAGCAAGTTCAGTTTGTCCCAGGTGACCAGACTGTAAATGAAACAGCTGAAGTCAGGATCCCTTTAGAAATGAGTGAAACTGCTTTAGATGGTGAACAAACTTTCTAAGAGCCCTCCCACATCCACAAAGACCCTCAGCAAGGTCCTGCAGCATCTCCAGAACCACCTCCAGCAGGTGTGCGATGATGTCACCTCTGAGCAACGACTGAAGGAGGAGCAGCTCCAACCAGGTGCTGGAGAGGTGTACCTGATGAAGTTGTAAACTGTGGTCATGTTTAACATTAACGTCGGTCACCGCAGCAGGAGCTGCTCGTGGGAGCGACACAGACATACAGAGGCAGAACAGAACGAGCTTTATTCTTTATTCTTCTTTCATTTGGAAGAAAAATAAAAATGTAATGAGGAATCAATGCCCCGCCTCCCCCACCCTGAAATTAAACACATTGGGTTGGTATGAGGACAAAGATGAAGACAGTTTTATTGCCATAAACTCAAGGAAAGGAAAGTTCTAACAGTTGTTTATTCAGAAACGTTTCTGCATTTTACCTCCAAGAAAAACAAAAAAAAACACACATGATGTCAAAGCGACGCAGACCCACACCTGAAAGCTTTCACCTGCGCCGGGTTTACAGCCAGTTTCCTGTCGGGCCACAGAGAAACACACAGAAGTTACAGGTTCCAGACCAAAGCCCCATCTTTATTGTACACAATCAACTTTACAACAATTTATCGGTGGACGCTGGCGTCTGACCCACACTGAAACCACCAAACAGCACAAAAAAAAAAAAAGAAAAAAGAAAAAAAAAAAAGCTTTCGGTTTCTTCTGTTCTGTCGGCAATGCGGCGTGCTAGCGCCACCGTCTGGTTGGGATCTGTGGTGGCGGCTTTAAATGACTCAGTGCTGTAATCAAAGACAGATGGAAGGAGGAAAAAAGAAGGAAGAGATGAAAAAGGGGAGCAAAGGAAGGGAAAAATAAAAGTTAAGAAAAACACTTTGAACTTATTTTGTCCTCCCTGATTTTTATGAATGAAAATCGTCTCCCTGGGTTCGAGCGACCGTTTAGAGTCCAGAACATTTTCACTGCTTTAGCGGTCAGTGATTTAACCTCGCTCAGTGCAAGTACGACAGCGCAGTCAAAGCTCTGACATCATCTTTTACAAAGTACAGAGACTAACTGAGCTTCTCAGATTTTGGAGGGTGGTGGGCCTGAACGGGAAGCTTCAGAGCACATGGGGCCGCCTGACGACATTAAAGCAGTAACAGTTCTGCACATATCCGGTCGTTAAGTGACGAATCCTACTTCCGGGCCTAAAGTAGTCTGTGTTTAATATGCTTTTGTGTTGTTAACATGTTTAATGTTTTGTATTTTCTTCTATTTAATCTCAAAAAGCTCCTAAAACAGTCAGTGATCACTGTTGACCTCCCTCGGCTTTTATTACCGCCAATCATTTATTTAAGCTCAGTTTATAAAACCTTAGGATGTAACTACAGCCCAGCCCATGCAGCAGTATATGAATGACTAACCTCGTATTGTGGATGGATTATCTCAGTTGTTCTCCTGGCTGAAGTTTGGTCCTTTTACAGCATCCTGCCATGCGATTACATTTGTTCCTGACCACCGAGAACACTCACGTTAACTTTTATCGAGTGGAAAAAAAGTTAGCTTGTTTATGTTATGCTAACATAGCTGTGTCGCTAGCGGTCACGTAGCACATCATTATATACCAGCTAGCCAAACTTCAGTAACCCTACAAACGTCACTGCTGTTTAGTTTTCTGTCTTCATTTATGTTGGAAGTGATAACAGAGCTGTACGTTTTAATTTGTTTCCAAAACCCCGCAGTCAGGACATGCTATATTGTATTTAGATAGAAGCTAGCGAGCTAACTTCCTGCTAACTTCTAACTCCGTTAAATGTCATAAATTCCGTTTTCATGGATGCCTGGATGTTAAACTCAATTGTTACACCTGGTAGAGCAGAACGCTGATCATTTTATTAAAGATGAAAGACTTTAGACTGTTTTTCAACTCTCAGTAAGGCCATAGTGATGTTTGATATATGGACCTGCAGCGGAGTTTAGGCCCAGACACGGCTAGTGACGTCAGACTGAACGACCGGACAGTTTATGAAGTTTGAGAATACGCCTACACATTTAGTCTCAGTGAGCCTGTAAAAACCTGTGAACCAAACAAACGGAGACAGAATCAATAGAGACCGGGCTCAATAGCTTCACTTATTTCTGCTGTCGTTGCTGTTGGTGGTCAAACTTCTCTTACAACATTTCCTTAACATTTTCACCACCATTAAATAAAAGCTGGTAGATTTTTTTTCCTACAAAAATATGAAGCAGTTCCTGAGAGAACTGTTCATAATCATTCAACTCATAATAAGGCGAACGGTGACTCAGAGCTAATGTTTCAGGAAAAGTTAAAAATCAAACGGGAAGAGCTAAAAAATAAAAAAAAAATAAAAATAGATACAATTAAATTAAAAAATATATATAAAAGTTTTCAGTGTGGATCAACAGACCAATCAGAAAAGATTCCCTTCTGTGTGTTCAGTGTGGGAGGCATTGTTAAAGCTGATTGGACAGGACACTGCCACATCACCGCAAACCCGACAGAACACAGCCAATCAGAGGAGCCTTTTCAAACTGTGCTGCATTCAGGGTCTGTACTTCCACAGTCATAAATCAGGAAAACTAGTAGGATTTAATGATTCCCGAGGAGCTGTCTGCACCTGAATGCACCGTTTTTTGATTTTTCATGTAAAATTCTGCAGACAGTGAATGCAGCACCTGTCTGTGCTAGCAGAGCATCATGGGAACAGAAGTCTAAAGCTTTTTAGCAGTTTACTGATTTCATCAAGTGGGTCTGCTGTGGACACCTGAGTGGGCGGAGCTTGCTGAGAGCCAGGCATTAAACCCCGCCCACCCAGGACGACAAGCTGGTGTAACGCTAACCAAATCAACAAAAGACACCAAAGATTAAAACAACAAAACAACTAAAGTGGGGGACATTTTCAACCAATCAGAGTGAGGGGGCGGGGCTGTAGTCCAACAACTATAAAATACAAAAAAGAAACACTAAAAGACTTTACAGGTTTAACCTCCAAGCTTCTTTCTGTTGGAGTAAATGTGGGCAACCGTTGACCCAGAAGAGTATGGGGCGGGGCTACAGGACAAAGCAGGTATGACATCACAGAAAGCGGAGGTGGCGGTGAGGGGGCGGGGCAGAGAAACCCAAAGACGGAACATGCATTGACGAGCTGCTCGCCGTGTTGTGTTTACAGGTTTATTACTGATCAGAGTGTCAGAGTGCGATTCGTCTTTATTCCCACTAAGAATAAATATTCTGCTCAAACTGAACTCAAACAGGAAGAAGAAGAAGAAGAGGAGGAGGGCAGCGTCCGCTCGCTCGCTCGCTAGCTGGCCGTCTGTCAGGCAGGACTAACTGTGGCGTCTAAATCACCCCGTTTGGCGTTTCTTGGTTAAAGTTCGCTCTCGCCCCCCTAACCTCCCTCTCCCCCCACCCCCCTCCCTCCCTACGGCCGTGCGGCCTTCAGTCTCTTATGGTTTTTCTTTTGATATCACCTCCTCTCGCGGCTTCGCTCCGCCAAAGATGGCAGAGTTGGGGTTGGCGACCTGGTTGAGCGGCTCAGAGACGGTCCGAGGCTTCAGCTGCAGCCGAGGCCGCTGTGCACGCTCCTCTGCAACAGACACATAACAACAGACAGTCAGTGCACGCCGGGGGAACTTCCTGTTTTTAAATCAACAGACATTTTACTTTCAGTCAGGAAAAATCTAAACTGGGGACTTTTTTCCAGAGAAGCAGGAAACACTCTGCTTTCTAACCCCTATGTGGGACACCAGGAAGAAGCAAAGCAGGCCACCAGGGGGAGCTCTAGAAACACAGGTATGTGCACATGCTGTGCTGATGTCACGCTGCTGTGTTCTCAGCGTGTCAGGTGTATGCCTCACTGGCTAATCGGATGATCATCCGCTCAGGATTCTGATACTGTGATGACCCCTCCTACTCTCTCTGCTATCCTTCCTCTTCCTGGATTTGTGCGACAGGCGGGTCCTAAGACGTACACACCTGTTAGCACCTGGCTAATTGTTTTCTATGTATTCTCTGTGTCACAGTCTGCTGATACAGCGCTGCCATATTTGACCAAACCTAATCCACCCGTGTCAGAGCGTTGCTGAAAGGGTTAAAAAACAAAGCAGGAAGTCACGTCACCTTCAGACGGTTCCCTGAAGTCTGTCGTTCCTCCGCGTGGGGGTCCGTCTCTGTAGCGACCCATCCCTGCACCTCCACCCCTTCTGTCACTAGGGCGACTGCCACCGCCTCGACTCCGCCCCCCCATGTAGTCATCATCTCTAAAACCTGCAGAGAGACAGGTGAGACAGACACGCGCACAGGTGAGTGTTCAGATAGACGGCCACAGGCGCCCTGAAAGAGTCCAGACCTGGAAATGAATATGAGATGGTTGAGGTGAAGGGCATGATGGGGGAAAACAGGGTGTGTCCAGCAGCTTCAGGAGGCGGAGCCAGACACCAGTTACCACTTCCTGTTTGGTGTGTTAGCCTCTAACGTTAGTCTCCCTGACTGGTCAATCATGCCTCACCACCAGAGCAATAATCAGAACATGGCCTCACATCATATATATATATAAACAGAGAGCAGCGCTCTCTATCAAATATTACTTGATTAGTTTTACTGCTTTAAAAAAGTTTGGAGGCCGAGGAAATTTTCCTGCCGTCCCATTGGCTAGAACCCAGCTGGCAGTGCCCTGATTGGCCGCTGGAACGCGATGCTGTCCAACCTGAGCTGCTGAACTCTCTGACCGCACCTCCTCCTGGCTGGTCGTAGAAGTCCTCACGGGAGTCGCGTCCTCCTCCTCCTCTGGGAGCGCCTCGAGAGCCTCCTCGTCCTGCAGAGGACACGGGGCAGTTTAACACTGAGGGGGGAGGGGGGGGAGAGGAGGAGAGGAATAGAAAAGAAAGGAAACAGAGGAGGTGGCAGCACCTCCTGCTGGGAGGGGCTACACTAGAGAGGCGAAGCTTGTTAGTGGTCCATGAGCCAATCGGAGTTAGAGAGAAGCAGCAGCACTCTGAACACTGAAGAAGGTGAAAGGTCAGCAGGAGGAGACGTCAGGTGGCCTCCACCTACCTGCAGGTGACTATGAACAGCAGGGAGGTGAAAGGAAAAGGGGAGGAGTCTGTGGAGGTGAGGATGAAGAAATGAAGCATGAAAGATGAAGAGTCCTCCTCCTCAGAGTCACAGGGCAACAAATATGCTTCGTCTGCGTTTCCTTGAAGGCTGGACTTAAATCTCAATCAGATTCAACCGGCGCCGCTTCCAGACAGCGCCTCACGTGTCAGGACCCCTCCCCTCTTTTCCTAACCCCTCATCACTTATCCTTATCACCTTTTCTTGGCCTTGATCAAGGAAACATGGTTAGGAACAGGAGCCAGGAGGTCCCAGCACCACGTGACCTCCCTGATACATTACAGTTTGGGGCGTGTCGCGAGCAGGCCCCGCCTCCCGTTGGTTAAAATGTTCAACTTTATTCATAAAGCGCCAAATTACAACAGCAGCAGGTCCAAGATGAGAAACGGACAATAAATCAGAGGAAACACCAACAAACAGCTTCTACTAACGTCTGCTGGAGCTATCGTTTGGGAACGGGCGCCGTCGAGCGGGGATGCCCTGTCCTGCGTCCTTAACTGACCAATCAGCACAGACTAGCAGAACACTGATGATTTATGAGCAACTCAGCTGCAGAAAAATGTTTTGGTGAAGAATTTGGTGAAAACTATTTTAGCCGTCTTTTGCTCCGGGTCACTGAGCACCTCAGAGCTTTCCCGTGTCTGAAAGCACGCCGGATTTTCTCTGGGATCTAACTCCAGCCTGGAAACCTTCCTACCACGTTAGCACTCTTCTTCTCTGCTCGTACCTCTGCCGTCGTCTTTCCTGAAGCCAAAGCCGCCCCCTCCTCGTTCTTGTCTTCGTCCCTCTGCGATGTCCACCCTCAGTGACCTTTCACCTAATAACTGCAGGTCAGAGTTCCTGTCAGACAAGACAGCAGCGTGGCAGCACCAGAAAACGTCGGGTTTATTAAATCAGATACTCACGGCGCCGTCGTACGTCAAAGCTTCTTTTAGAGATTCCAAATCGTCAAATTCAACATAACAAAAACCTGAAAGAGACGTAAACAGTCAGACAGGAAGTTTCACCCGAGGCAAACTTCATCATCCCCGACACCCACGCCCCCTCCGAACCTTTGAACTTGTCTGTCTCTTTGTCTCTGACCAATCGGACGCTGCGGATGTTGAGCTCTTTGAAGATGATGTCGATGTCTCCCTGCACCGTGTTGAACGGCAGGTTTCCCACGTACGCCGTGAACGGAGGCTCTGTCGGCAGCTCCTTCTGCTTCCTGGGGCCTCCGGGACCGCTGCCGCCACGGGGCCTGATGGGAGGGGGGACAGAGGATCGTCAGACAGGGACACCAGTAAAGAGGATTGTGGGATGTAGAGGTCAGACTGGACCAGTTAAAGACAACAACTCTCCACACATTAAGCTCACTGGTCTTTCAAACTGGGAGTGCTCGCTTTGGAGTCTAAACAGGAAATGGCGAGGACAGAAAGACCTAAAAGCTGCAATCGGCCCCGTGATGCGTTCCCAATGACTTTATGAGCTCAGGCGCTCGTTCACGGCCGTTTTGTGAAACGGAATGAGAGCCTGACCAATCAGACGATGCTGTTGGACGATACTGGCTCTCTGTCGATCTTGTTAGTGAAAATGATCAATAAATGAAGATTTAAAAAAAGAGACCAGAGAAACATCCTGAGTGTAAACAAGTAAATAAATTACTACACATAACAAATGTTGGAAATCTGTCTGAA